CATTCTTCAAAAGTGCGCTCGTTGAGCTTCCTAAAATCCAGACGTTTGTTTTTGTTGTCTAACTCGTCGTAACCATTTTTATCTACGACCCAGGTTGGGTTATTGTAAGGGGWCCTTGACGGTCTAATGATTTTATTGCGTAGCAATTCTCTTATTTCCTTTTCGACAAAATCTGCTACTCCCATTGGGTGAGGGTACAACTTCGAGTAAATAAGCTCGTTATCTTCGGTTCGGATCGTTAAATGGCAACAGCTCGTTAGAGTCTGCGAATGTCTTAAAATTAACGTTGCTGCACTTATGATATTGCAGTTCTCCTGACATGGTACCATAATTTATTTTGTCTCCGTCTAGGTAAATGGTCGCGCCCACCTGCGTTAGCAGGTCAAGGTCTATGATTCCGTCGAACAATGTTAAACTATCCAACACAAAGAATGGGGATGTTACCCAGAAAATATTTATCAGGCATTTCTGTTTGATTTTCTTGGACCCATGGATAGAGTTCACATTAAACGGGGAGTCTACCGGCTTTACGCCTTTAAGCTCYTGTACGGGCCTGACATAATTTTTTGCCGGCCCAGTGTCAATTAAAAACCTTAGTGTTTTCCCAGCCAACGTCTTTAAAAAATTAATAGAGTCACTTTCGTAGTCAACCCCATTTTCATTGTCTACCTCTGCTACTGCAGCTGCGGCAGTAACCTCATACGCTTGGAAATCCTRATCAACATCCGAATGATTCAAATTGTTGATCCTCTGCCGCCTAAAATCTGTCATACGCTCTGAATTATTCTGTCTCTTATTTCCCTGAACGGGAGCATTGTGAATACCGGCAGCTTGTGCCTGTTGGTATTCCGTTGGTTGGCTAAATTTAAACGGGGCCTCTACCATGAAAATCCCTATCATTTTCGCGTTGCCTAAATGATGAAGCCTTTCCTGCATTATTTTTGCCCTGACTCTTGAAGTAATGTGGATTTTTTACGTGATTGACATCGCCGCCACTATTCTGTGAATAAGTATTTTGCCGTCGAGTTTCACCGCCGGGTCAGTTTCCTTTCTATCTCATCATAGTACTGTGACAAGCTCAAATCGCCCTGACGCAAGGTATCTAACTCTTGGTGGAGAATGCGCACTGGAGTTTTGCCAGCATAGGTGAAATGTAATTGTGCCACAATGGCCTTAAAATTTAAAACTGTGTCAAATGAGGCCAGTATATTAATCGCTGAACCCCTAATCTTATTCCGAATAATACCTACTGCCTCGTAACGCTTTACGCTGTATTCATAAGGTTCGAATAATTCGTAGGCAGCCATCGCTGCCAGCCTCCACGAAATATATTCCTCTTGTTTACCATCAAACTCTGGCAATGACTTGACGAGGTCTAACGTCTGACTACACGATTTTCCTTGCACTATCGCAATTTTCTGGTAGCTTTCTACTTCAGGGGTCGTGACCCTCAATGCATTTTTTCATCAATAAGCTGTTTCCATTGGGCGGCCTGTGCCACCCATGCGGCTTCTAACACCACTTGTACCTGTCTTGCGTCCATACCCGTTTCTGTTTCCACTACGTCTGCCACGTAACCTGCTAGTATGGTTTATCAATTCCTGTACTGAGTTATCGTAAAGCTCTTTATCGTGAGGGGGGTGGCTCATTAGACCCTGAACAACTAACACACATAAGTATTTTTTCACTCAAACTCGTCACAATTGTTAACGGCCACCAAAGAATAAAAAAAATAAACAAAAAGATCACTTCACTCTTTATATAATGCTACTTTATTAATTTCACAAATGATAACGATTGGCTGTGCCATTCACTTACATGGTTTTTCAATAAATATGGTAATTCCGTTGCTCTGTGGCGGGGTTGATTGTTGATCGCTAATTTTCCTCGTCGTGACCCACGTTGGGCGCCAGTAAAAGATGTATGCTGTAATCACTATATGATGTGTATGAGCCGGTCGTCGGATGCGACAATAATTACAATAGTTGTATGTTTTGCACATACACTTTATTGGCCAGGACCCATGTGCTCCGGCTAATGCTCAACTTAAATCTAACCTAGCCCAAAACCTAACTTAATGGTTAGCCCTAAGAACGCATATTCAGTAGTCGACGCTGCCAGCTTTGACATCTGCGTCGTGCTGATACTTCTTCATACAATGGTTTATCCAATTGGTGATAGCGCAAGCAACGATCGCTGGTCAACTGTTTACGCAATCGGATATTGACACTGTTTATGTAGGAACGCTCTCTTGCGTGTGACTTGCTGTCCGTCCGTCTCGCTGCCTTGGTGGCTGTTATTGTTTACGTAATCTGCAGAACGGCGAATGATATGTCGTTGCTTTAGTGGCGGTCGTTGCCCACACAATCCGCTGATGAGGCAAGATGTTGTATTGGCCTCACCACATTCGTACCCAAGTGGAAATTRGGCATTATATGTTAACTTGTACATATATATAAATATGTACATACATATATTAAAATGAAAGAATTGCAATTTTAAAAGAATATGCTTATATATATGTATGTTTTAATTGTATATGTATATATTTGCTTTACTTTTCGTATTTTCCGCTTTTGCTTAGGGTTTAAGCGATCCTGCTGTTGCTTGTTTTTATAGACCAATGGGTATCGCAAGAATTATCGAAAGTATGTTATACTTGACTTAAATTATATTATATTTTCTTTTTTAATTATATAATGGGTGTCTAACGACACCAGCTAAGCAAAAGGCGGGTACTGAAGTACTGAACTTTTTTACAGCAGCTATTTCTTTTTTTTTTTTTTTTTTTTTTTTTTTTTTTTTTTTTTTTTTTTTTTTTTTTTTTTTTTTTTTTTTTTTTTTTTTTTGTAGATATACACATATCGAACTGTTAAGAAGAGTTAACGGTGTCCCGAAGTACCGTCAAAAGTGTACTTAACATACATACATATACAGTAACGGACAAAATATTTCCAACTAGAGCGAAGTTCTAGATTTTTGTCTTACAATGCCATTTTTCCTTCGAATTGCTTTTTGTTTCTTGTTTTTAAATTTACAGCATTGAAGTTACATATTTTGTAATGTTTATCGCGATCTTTTTTTATTTTGTAGGTTATATTTGAAAACAATTTCAAATGTATGTCAATCGGCCGCGACAAAACAAATGCAACTCTATTTTGTTSTTTTATTTTCTCCTTTGCTCGTTTCTTTTTCTAACGGTATTGAGTTTGAATTAATTATAACATTTACTGAGCATAAGTAATGGCACTAAATAAATTCGGTGAAGCACTCCGAGCACGTGTTATTGATGATTATAATAACGAAACCTCTCAAAAAGAAATTTCTATAAAGTACATAATTCGCAAGTAATCAATCTCACGAATAATTTCGATCTTTATTAGGAACAAAACTGTCGAAGTAGTGCATCGTGGACGTCGACCAAGAAAAACTGACAGTTGAATTATAAGAGAGATAACAAAAATATCCATTTTAAAGCGCTCCGCAGTGGGTAAAGGAGCTTGGATCAAGAACGGTCGCTCATCGCCTAAATAACGCTGATTTACACAGTTACCGACCAGCGAAGAAACCGCTTATTAGCAAACGCCAATCAACTAAAAAAATAAAACAAACTAAAAATCATATATAAACGGTCAATAAGCAAGTGGAAAACTGTTCTTTTTAGTGATGAGTCCAAATTTAATTTAGTAGGAAGTAATGGCGTCAGTTTCGTCCGACGTCTACGAAACAAGCATCTTAAAAAATTTCTATTGTCTAAAAATTGTGAAACATAGTTGCTATGTTATGGTCCGGGAATGCTTTTCTGCGTCTGGTTTGGGGCCGCTTCATCGTATCAATGGTAGGATGGATCAGTACGTTTACAGAGACATTATGGAATTCGTAATGCTGCCACATGCTAAGTGCATACCGAAGCATATGGCATAGGTCCTAAAATCGTGGTTACAGAGGAATAAAGGGGATGTAATGGAGTGGCCTCCACAGTCCCTAAGCCTTAATGCCATATGAAATTTATGTGAAATTATAAAAAAGAATTGATCGCAGTAATGTGCCAAATACTGATCAGTTTTTTCAAAAGGGCCAGAGGCATGGATAAATATACCCCAAACCATAAGGGATAACCTTATAGCTTCAACGCCTGTGCGATGCAAAGCAGTTATTGAGTTTAATGAGTTTTCTACAAAATACTAAGTTTTCTTTTATTTTATTAAAAATAGTGAACCGTTTTCTTTGATTTGCAATTGTTTTGTCTTATTGAAAATAGATGTTATATCGATTTTTTATATATATAAAACAAATAAACTGAAAAATATTATTAATTTGCTTTGTTTGCCTTAATTAACATCCAATATTTAAAATAAAATGAAACTAGTAAGTCTCCGGAAATTATTTTCTGTGTAATCCACACTATTTTCATTATCATATTTTAGTTGCAAATGTGTTGTCCGATTCTGTATATTTCCATAAGAATTAAATGTATATATATTTATATATCAAATTAATATATGAAAGAGACTCACTTTATTTTCCGCCAAGGGTTTTGGGTCATTATACCGTTACCCTTGTTTTTTTTTTGTTTTTTGTTCCGCTTATTTCCGTTTCCTCTTATGTATTAGGGTATTCATAAGGTGTCATATCGTCATATTGTCATATTTTTTTATGACTGTCATAACAACACTGTTGTTGTTTCACATGCAAAATTAAAATATGACTGATACAACCCTGCGTGGTATGTTTCTTGCGTTCGCTATTCTATCAGATGTATTTGTTTACAAATACAAGACAGCAGGGTATATTTCTTGAGTTCGCTATTCTATCAACTGTACTTGTTTACTTTCTTATTATTGGCGTGTGTGTAGTGTTTGAAATTAATAAATTTAATAAATTTCGTTATTAATATGGAAGGAAACCATGATATTCAGGTAAATTAAGTTGAATATAAGTGAAATATGGAAATATTTTGATATTTATGTGGTTGCAAATGATTTTATTGCAGTGTAAACCAAAACGCCGCCGTTACATAAGTGGAATGCGGCAGAAGAAAAAGCGCTTGTGGAGTTCCTAATGGAAAATAGAAGTTTCGAGGTTTGTCATTTCAATTTAAAAAAACAAAACAAAGTCAAATAATTTTTTTCTTAAAGAAACCAACGGCTCAAAACATCTATGGTCGTTTCATCGCAGACACGCAGCTGACGGTAGGATGGATAGTGCGCGCAAAAGTACGCAATATGCGCACTAATTATAACAAAGCAAAGGAGTGGGAAGAGTCGACAGGCGCAGGAAGTATGGAAGGCGACACAATAAAAAGTATATTCTTTTAAGGAAATCTCTTTTTTTTTTAATTGTGACCATTAATTTTTTCTATAGATACTTTAAGAAAAATGTGTTTTTTCTATGAAGAGTTGGACGATATTTTCGGCAGCAGATTAAATTGTTCTGCAGTAGTGGAAGACAGTTTGGTGACGCTGTTAGAAAGCGATTCCACAAGTCCATCGGGAGCAGAATGTGTGGTTGAAGCGGGCAGTTCAGTTGAAGCAGAAGAATCGCAAAGTCCTGCGTTGAACGACAATGTGCGCACTCGAAGGCAGAAGGGAATATATTCCAAAACTGCCTTGTCAGATATTTTGCAGAAAATTAAAATCAAAGAAAAAGAAATAGAATTAAAGAAAAGAGAAATTGATGACAAATTGGAAATTGAAAAAATTAAATTACAAATGTCGGCGAGGTTGGCAATGGAAGAGCTTAGGCTTAAATATAAATAATTTTACAATGCACTACATTTTTAGTTCACTTTTGTTATGAATTAATTTTTATTATTATGTGTTTTTTATGTTTTAAATGAAGTTTTTATGTTATAAGTTTTGTTGTGATATTAATAGTTAGTGCCTTTTGAAGAATACGAAAATGAAATGATAAACGTACCTAACCCAAAATAAATAAAATATCAAAAATATATTTGGATTATAATTAAGCAAAATAATCATGCATTTTTATTAACTTGTATGGTTAAAGAATGTTTTCAGTATCTATATCGAAACTGATTAACATGTTATGAAGAATACAACACACCATAATCCAGTCATTGCATTCCTTCTTATTTGACGTTGCATTCTAAATTTAAGCTCCTTTAAACTACCGAATTTCTCTTTCAAAAGGTCAAAACAATTCTCAATTCGTACACGATATTTGGAAAAATACGCGTTGCATAAATCCCTTTCTTCTTTTCTATGTTCAACACTGTTTTGCCGGAAAGGCGTTATAAAATATGGTTTCAGTGGATAGGCATTATCTCCCGCAACCCACTGTGATGTCGACAAGAATCGTTCCGGATGCTTTGCTAGTGAACAATTTGAAAATATTTTCGCGTCATGTACACTGCCTGGGTAACCAATCGTCACCTGTCTTATGCGCAATTTATAGTCACAAATTGCTTGTAGTTTTACAGAATATTGACGTTTACGCGAATAGTAAATTTCATGCTGCATAACTGGTGCTTCAGCTAACTTTATTTCGGAACCATCGATGTAACCCACACACCCTGGCATTTCTTTCGCAGTTGCGGACACAATTTCCAGTTTTTTCCTTCATTGGGCCAGTAAAAAACTCATTTATTAATCGCAATATGGCTTTAAAAATTCGTTGCGTTACATTTTTCATAGTGCCTCCATCACCCATACCAAATAAGGAAGCCACTTTGCGAACAGATTGTCCATCGCCGGAAGATCCCAACCGATACAGCACTATTTTGAGTTGCAGTTCGATTGGAAGTTGTGAAGCTCTTGAACTTGTCTTAAAAACAGCGTCATTTTTAATTAATTCTAAGATACGTTCGCATTTCTCCAGACGAACACGAAGCATCTGATTGAATCTGCTTTCGTCAAGATTCCTTAGCACATTTCGCTGCCAACTGGAACATTTTGCTAAACCGAAATGAACGCTTCTTCTGTTGCTCAGTAAACAGCTCATGCTGATCAAAAAACTTTCAATAGCTACGTCTTCTTCGTCACCTGGCAAAGTATAAATATTTGTATTTAATGAAGAAATGTATGCAAATACTCACTTGATTCAACTCCTAATAGAGCCAATGCATGATTTTCACATAAAAAAGCTATAATTTTATTTTTCTGACTTTCTCGTGGCATTTCTGTCTYCTTTATTTTTCACTATCAGCTGATTAAGTGTAGAAATATGAAAACAAATATGACATACAACAGTGGAGGGTGCTCACAAGAATATTAAAATATGACATAAGACACACAACAAAGCTTGTGAATTGCCTATATGTAAGGCACTGTCCTTGTTGATTTGCTGTCTTTCTCTTTGTTGTTTGTTGATGTAGTCTCCCGTCACTATTTATGGTAATTGTGATTTGCGTATATGTTATCGCCTGTTTGCTATTTTAGTTTTAATGTTTGTATGTTTGTTGAACTTTGTAATTGTACCGTGCCCGTTTTTGATGTTAGTAGGGTTTGGTTTTGTTGTTTTGGTGTTTAGTTTATTTCGCGCACGGTTTTGATTTTAAGTTCTATGTTTGTTAAACTTTGTTGTATTAATACCGCGCCCGTTTCGATGTTAGTAGGTTTTTTGGTGTTTTTTCATTTACTTTATGCTTGAATTGCTTTTATGTATCCTTACACGTCACTTTCTATTTTCCGTGATTCTGGGATTTGTTTCTTTTTTTCACTGTAACTTTGTGCTTCATATATGTTCACCGTATGTTTACTTATATTTTTGTTTTATTTCATTCCATAAATTTTGTGCGTCAAACACTTTAAAATATTTCGCACTTGCAACAGGAAGGGGATGTTCGAGCAAGCAGATAACTGCGGCAATATTGCAACTCTGATACTTTTTTGCAGATACTCAGCTGATACTTAAACAAATATTTTGCGCGGCGTGCAGGTGCATTGAAGAAGTGAAATGTAAGAAGTTTTAAAAATTAATTTTTTAATAAATTTAACAGTGAAGCTATCCACTGTGTGTGTGGATAGTGAGTGTAGTTTGCTTCATATATATAAAAAAGCAAATAAACAAAGTTTTTTGCGCAAAAAAAAGTGGCTTATGACCGAAATTTTAAAGAAGAGGGCTATAGTAAAATCGAAAAACTTCTTTAGAGCACTTTAATTTTACCCTCCGGATATATATTTGTCACATTTTCGGATGTCCCGTGAAACATTTGCTGTAAGTTTTCTGGTTTAAATAATCGCCTAAATAAACACATATGTACATATATACTTCGTAGGAATTAAAGAGCGACTTGGAACCTTTTTGGTTAACGTCACCCGGGGAATATTCATTAGATCAGGCTTTGCATATTACCTTGTGGAAGCTGGGTAACAGCAGAGTCACTTATTGTGAACTATCAGATAAATTTGATGTTTCAAAAGGGATTGCCTACAATATTTTTCTTAAAACGATCAACAATTTGCAAGTTGAAAAATTAAATATGTCAATTCCCCCGCAGCAAACAGTAATGGAGCGTTTCCAAGCGAGCCGGCCGAATGCATTTCCTTTGTTGTTGTTGTTTTAACGGTTATCAGTCCCCGTTGGAACGGTGAGGGTCATCAGTGTTGTCTAACGGGAGGCCCAGGAAACGTGCTGTTTCGACGGGGTCGGACCAAAGAGAAAAGGGTGTTAGATAGGTGGGGTTGGCTGGGCATGCAAAGAGGTGGTCAGTGTCATGCATGCAGGACATACGTTGGGTATGTCAGAGTCTATTCTGGATAAGTAGTTTAACCTGCTACAATATCCAGAACGAAGTTCGAACGAGCTCTTCGTCTGCTATGGGTGGTGATTTGATTCCAAGTACGCCATTCACGGGGAGGGAGTCGGTGAAGGTATTGATGGCTCCACTGTGAAAGGCGGTCAGTGCCTGTCGGAAGTCCGTTGCGTCCAAGGTCATGTCGGCGTATTGTTCGATGTCAACGACGTGATCAAGGAATGACCTCTCGATGCTCCTAGGAGGCGGTTCCGCTCCAAGCAGGTGACTGTAAGGATGATTTATACAAAAACATCCCAGCAGGAACTACTTGGACAGGAGTTCATTATGCTCCTTAACTGAGAGCATAAGCGTCTCACTATGTAGGTGTTCGATGAGACACATCAAGAGGCATCCCGTCGTGGTCCGGAATGCCGTATTCTGGCAGGTCTGTAGTTTCCTCATCTGCGTGCCACTGCATCCAGGCGACCATATGGGTGCTGCATAGTTAAGGACCGGCCGGCCGATTGCCTTGTAAGTTGYCAACAACGTTTCTTTGTCTTTTCCCCATGTGCTGCCGGCTAGCGACTTGAGGATTTTGTTACGGCTCTGTACTTTGGCGATAATCGCGGTCGTATGTTGAGAGAAGGAGCATAGACTGTCGAAGGTGACACCTAAAATCTTAGRGTTATTGACAGTCGGAATTTTGACGCCGTCGACTGCAATATTAAGTTCTAGTCTATACTCCTTCGTCCAGTTCGTGAATATGGTCGCTGTGGATTTGGTAGRGGAAAGTTGGAGGTTCCGTGCAGTGAGGAAACGAGAAAGGTCGGAGAGGTATTTGTTTACCTTCGAACGCATGCCATCGATTCCATTGCCCGACGTCAATATTGTACAGTCATCAGCGTACGAGGTTATGGAAACCGCCTCTGGTGGTTGCGGGAGTTTCGAGATGTAGAAGTTAAACAGTAGCGGGGAGAGGAAACCTCCCTGCGGAACCCCCTGTTTAATTCTTCTCAGTTTAGATGTTGCACCTCGAAATAGTACGGATGACTGACGACSGTTCAGATAGTTCATGGTCCACCTCTTGAGCCCTGGAGGAGGCGGGGTTTTCTCAATGTCCTGCAGTAGCGTTGTGTGGTTGACCGTGTCAAAAGCTTTTGACAGGTCCAACGCGGATCATTCTCTCACAGGGTGGTTTTTGGTTGAGTCCACGAACTATCTGAACGTTTATGACGCTAAGTGCTGTGGTGGTACTGTGCWTTTTACGGAATCCHTGCTGGTGGCTGGCTAGGCTCAGGTGGTGAGTGAAGGTCGGGAGTAACAAGGCTTCAAGTGTCTTCACTACTGGGGAGAGGAGAGTTATCGGGCRATAAGATTCCCCTTTGTTGGCGGGCTTCCCAGGTTTCAGTAGTGGGACCACTCCTCCGACTTTCCACACATCGGGTATTTGAAGAGTGGTTAGCGACTGGTTGAGGACCTTGGTGAGATATCTTACTCCCGTCAAGCCCAGATGCTTTAGCATTGGGGCAAGTCAGAGTGGGAGCTATGTTGCCTAGTTGAGCTCCGCGGGACCGGATGTGTTGCACCTGACCGAGATGGAGTTTGAATGGAGCCTTTTCGCGCAAACACAGCAGAAGAATTCCTCCGGGCCCGGGTTGGACTCCTGCTGCAAGGTGTTGCTCCAATGACGACAGACACAAATTAACACTCACCGAACCAAACGGGGTTAGATCGCCGAAAGAACAGCCCTTGGTCGGATGAAATCCGAGTCAATTCCGGTACGTAGAACCGGCTGTCGTAGGAATTGCATTTCCTTTCGTAGTCAGCTGTTTGGATGGGACACATTTTAAAATTAACACACCGAAGAAGGATATTTAACCCAAAAAAATTGTCAGAACATGAACATCAAGCTCTTTTCAAGAAATATTGCGAACGGTATTGAGCG